TATATATATATATATATATATATATATATATATATATATATATATATAAAAGCATAATCAATTATTCAAATATGTGTATTTGAAAAACACAATCTTTTAATTTTTTTTAAATGAATTATTTTTATATTACCTATATTTTTTTAAAAAAATATTTTATAATTCATACATATTTAATTGACATATTCTTATATAATTATTAGAACTACATAAAATTACCTTTACAAAAGGTAACAAACAATTTGATATGATAGATTTCTAAAAATATTTAAAAAAAACAAAAATAAAAAAAAACAAAAATAAAAACATTAATTGTTAAATTAATATATGTCATCGGCGCCCGCTTTTAAACCTAACGAGCTTTACTCGAAAATTAATACAGCCACCTTTATAAACCCCGCCATTCTTGACGTTTTTCTCTCGTCAAAGCACACACATTCTCTTTCTTTAGAATGGATAACCTGGCTGCAATGTTTCTCTATTCTTCGTCTTCAACTTCAACTTCACCGGCGGCAGCCCTTTCTTCACAGTTATCGCTAAACATGACGAATCATTATTCACATGCAGATCACAACTATAACAATCGCTACAGCAGCTACACGCAATCCGATGATGATCATGAGCTCCGACTAATCGGAGAAAATAAAAAGGGCCCCTCAGATAAAGTGGTTGTAGCGGATCGAATATCTCCGAGTACTAATAGCTTCAGTACTGGTGACGGTGACGATTTGAATACATCAATGGCGTCAACCAAGCTTAACGTCAGAAAAGGCGAGAAGAAGATCAGAAAGCCTAAGTTTGCATTTCAAACGAGGAGTCAAGTTGATATACTTGACGATGGATATAGATGGAGGAAGTACGGTCAAAAAGCTGTCAAGAACAACAAATTCCCCAGGTAAACTAATTCATAGTTATAATCATAAATCTAAATATGTATCGGTCGTTTTGTTCAACTCCGTCTGGAATAATGATCATTCATCGGCAGGGCGGCTGTTAGATTTTAAGTGGCGTGTGCTAAGAAGAAAAATAGGGCCCTAAATAATTTTTTTTAATATATAAGGAAAACAAACTTAAGACGGTGAATTGTAACTTAAAAGTAAATATATTTATTAAAAATGAACATATGGAATTTTATAAAAAGTTTAAGGGTTAATTATGTAACTTCTGAAAACTGATTTGTTAAACATATTGCAAGGAGGAGTTGTTTTTGAAATATACGGCAAAAAGAAATGGACAAATGTGTAACTCTAATTTAAAAAGTCAAAATGAAATGAAGAAGATTTAAACCCGCATTGCTTTTGCATAGGGAGACTTCTTTGCCAATTGGCCTACACAAATCTTATATAATATCTTGAATAAATTCATATATATTTAGTTATTAAATATATAATTTAATTAAAACTTGGGCCTTAATTTTTTCGGGGCCCTGTGCGGCTGCCCCTCTTGCCCCGCCTTAAAACCGGGCCTGTTCATCGGTCTTCAAGAAGACCCTTATTTATTTATTTACTAGGTCATGTATTACATGGGTTAAATAAAAAAAATTAAATTTCAAAATGTAACCATTAAGTATTTTTAAAATTAAATTTTAAAATGAGGAAGGAAAAACATATTTATTACATTTAATACTTTACTTATATAATTATATTTATTATGTGGCTTTTTAATTTTAAAAATTAAAAAACCTAAAAATTGACATGTGGATATTATCTATTTCAAAAATACGACAAAATGAATCTTCATTTATTAGAGTAATTTAATGTATTATTTTAAATATTCAATTATTTATAATGTGTTTTGTTTCACCGTTATATCTCGGGGGTGAATTAATATCTAAATTTGGAGAAAATAATAATAATCTCTTAACAAGTCCTCGTTGCTTTGACTAGATTATTGCTATTGAACTGATAACAGATAATTAATCAAGTAATTACTTAATACTTATGTTTTAATTGTGTTGTTTCTTTCTTCATATAAATATATAGGAGCTACTATCGTTGTACACAACAAGGTTGTAATGTAAAAAAGCAAGTTCAAAGGCTATCAAAAGACGAAGGAGTCGTGGTGACAACTTATGAAGGAATGCACACTCATCCAATAGAGAAGTCTACAGATAACTTTGAGCACATATTGACTCAAATGCAAATTTACTCTTCTTGCTAGCTATAGGAATACATACATAAAGGGAACTTTAGGTATACATAACCTTGAAAATAAATAGTTAGAAGATTGGGATGTACGTATGGTTGTGAAAAATCACATAAACGCTAGCCTGAACATAAAACGTTTGTAAGTTTAGTCGATTTATATAATTTATCTCTGAATTTTATCGATAGAGATTTTGTTTACATTTATTTTTGAGTAAATTATACGAATGGTCCCTATGGTTTGAGGTAATTTGCACGTTTGGTCCCTAACTTATTTTTTAACTCCGAAGGTCCCTAATATTTGTTTTTGTTGCGTGCTTGGTCCCTGTCTTACCTAAAAAAACTATTTTGTCATTGATTTTTTAATTTATTTAAATAAGGTTGGGTAGGTAAGGTAAGATAAGGTAAGGTGAGGTGGATGTGGGGTTGGAGATGTGTTTATTTAAATAAATTAAAAAATCAATGACAAAATAGTCTTTTTAGGTAAGACATGGACAAAACGTGCAACAAAAACAAACAGTAAGGACCATCCGAGTTAAAATAATAAGTTAGGAACCAAACGTACAAATTACCCAAAACCATAGTGATCATTCGTGTAACTTACTCTTTATTTTTCATCAAGTCAAATAAACAATGGATTGAAATGACTTATTCTTTTCTTTTATTATTTGAACGGCTAGTTATAAGTGGATCGAAGTTAATATTAAAAACTTAGTAGAATCGCCAACACCAAGATTGAAACGACTTATTCTAAAAAAAAAAAAAAAAGTTGTAACCTTGAAACGAAAGTGGAATCGACCCTAGCTATGAGAGTAGTGAATTGAATTTTGGACAAAATTGTAAAAATGGTCCCTGTGATTGGTAATTTTATGTGTTTTTGTTCAAAATCAAATGTTAGTACACCACTGGTCATATTATAGATACCTTGTGTAATTTTGGGCCCTATAATTGGCATTTTGGTGCGTTTTTCGTCCAGACCCACCTTGAAATGACAAATATGCCCTTTGATAATTCTTTTATGATTTATTTTTATTTATTTATTATTATTTTCATTTAAAAAATAAAAAGAAAATATCATCATCCCACCCACCCACCCAACCCCTCCGTCCTTCTCTCTCTCTCTCTCTCTCTCTCTCTCTCCCCCCCCCCCCCTCAACCACCGTATCAAACCCACCCATTTCTCTCTTCTCATTTTATTTTAATTCCTCCACCACCTCAGTTTCCATTACCACCGCCGTTCTCCTTCTAGAACACTAGCATTCTCATCATGGGCCTGAAAACAAAGACCAACCCCCTCTGAAAACTCTACTTGTTGGTGTGCGACAGAGATGAACAGATCTCGAAAAGATCTAAGCCATCGATTTTCGTAGATCTCAACCATCGATGGTGGCTCTAACTCGACGAACGAGGTAATGTTGTAACTGGTCGAACGTCGGAAAAGAAATAAAGAGCGAAGACGGTGACTACGGTGGTTTGAAAGCCCTAGATCCGACAATAATCGTGGTGCTACTCCGACTACAAATAACTCTGAAACTGATGAGATCTGAGAAGGAGATTTTTCATCGAGTTAAGGAAGGTATGGTAGGAAAACGGTGATGACATGCGACCTGTGTCGACTTCTCCGTCACCACCACTATCCCTTCCTTCCACCGGAGCTATGGTGCAAAAGGAAGTCGTCGCCGCTCCTTCCCCGATGTACAAACAGATTGGTGGCATGTGAAGGTTTATGGGCGGCGTTTGCTGATTTGTAGCTTAAAAATTTGTAGATCGGGGAGTTGGACGGTACTAGCGGATGGTGGTGACACTTAGAGTGTTCGTGTGTTTTCCTGAGAGATAGAAAGAGATGAGAGAGGGGTGGGAGATGATAGGTACCACAGTTATGGAAAGAGAGAGAGAGAGAGAGAGAGAGAGAGAGAGAGAGAGAGAGAGAGAGAGAGAGAGAGAGAGCGCTGTGTGTGTCTGTGTGTAAGAGAGAGTGAACGGGATAGTGGTGGGTTTTATTTATTTTGAATAAAAATAGATAATAAACAAATGGAAAAACAAATTATAAGGGCATAATAGTCTTTTTAAGTAGATAGGGACCAAAAACAATAGAAAGATCAAATTTTGGACTAGTGGTGCACCAACATTTCGTTTTGAACCAAAAACACATCAAATTGCCAACCACAGGAACCATTTTTGCAATTTTATCTTGAGTTATGGTCATATCGTCTTCTTAGGTAGAATCGTAACTTACTTTTACTAGACAGGAGGAAAATTTAGATTAGATCTCATGATATACAACAAATTACCTTCAAACAAATATTTTGCGGCATAAAAATTCTTATTTATTTTATGTTTCATTAGATTAATATTTTATTAGCTTTATTTTATGTGGAAGCTAGAGCCATGATTTTAAAATTCAACTTTACGTTAATAATGTAAGTGCGACTTCTTGTTATCAACTGGATTCTATAGCTGCTGCCTTCTTTTTAAGTATATGGTGGTGACTCCACTTTAGTATAAGGTTCAAAAATGGTTTTTGCATGAATGACCTTTTTGGAGAAAATTCGCATGCAAATGGTCCTTAACATGGACATCCATTTAATGGAGTCGTTAGCTTTCCCCATGTGTCTTGCACATGAGGAAATTTTAGTCATTTCTATTTGGTCTTCTGAGAACATCGTGTTCTTCACCCCAGAACCACATAATGTCACACCCCCAAACCAGAACGGCGGAAACGTTCGGGGGCGGAGGACGTCATGCTCAGTATCATA